TTTCCGAATACCACCCTTATTATTGTTTCATTTAATATTAATTTGATGTATTTAATAATTTAGTCTTTCTCTTGACTCAAAGACAAAATGATAATTTGGTCCTGAACTAGGAAAAGGTTGCCAATACTTAAAGTGATAATCCATAACAACAGAATATTGAATTTTTTCAACCAAAAACATTTAAAATCTGGAAAGATATACAAATGGTCATTAACAAAAATGAAATGTAATCAGGTAATAGAATTTTAAGCAATTTTGGAATATCTGTTGCATCAGTTACCTGCAACACTGGCAGTTAAAGGGTTAAAGTATGTAAGCTTGATACACCAGAAAACTTTGATGATTGAAAAATTTCCGGAAATAATTATTTTAAATTGTTATCTATTGGTTCTGATCGAAACAGTTACGGGGAATACAAAAATGGCGTAACTGTTATTAGATATATCAGTTTTGACTAATGGCGATTTTGGTTTTTCCGCCATGCGTTGAAGCTGGAGACTGAGCAGAATGAATGCAACAGGGAAAACTGTTTTAAACATGAGATTTATTCTAGTAATGAGAAAGAGGACGTGTTTAAACGTCTTGGGTATAGTTAATCAATAACGGAATGGAAACGATGTAAAACAAAGGAAAGGCCGTTAACAAAAGAGGGCCGCCATTTATGATGTGGTGACAAGAGTCCTACAATAGGACACGATAAAAAAGAAACTATTTCAACATTATAAACTGTTAATACCTGCCTATTAATAATACCTAATAATACCTAATTGGAATAAACTTTAAAAAACTGACTACACAACGACTTACATATACTTATATAACAACACAACTAGATATCTGCAGAACTCAAATACAAAACAGGAAAATAACAATTATAGAAGTGATATAATATTGGTTCCAAAGAATTGAGACGAAAACCGATATACCTAATAACAGTTATGGGGTTTTTTCGATTCTCAATGTTGCAAAAAACAAAACCAATATTATAACTGTTTTTACCACCCCTGGAAAAATGTAGGATGAGACGATTTACTTTTCTGGTGTTCGTTCAAGGTGGGTGATGGTGGTGAAGAGGTGATAGTGGAGAGTCTTACCTCAGCCCCAATTCAGGTTTGGGTGTCTTAGACCGACTCTCTTTTCCATATATTATAATTATTGAAAAAAAAAAAAAAGATTTATTACATGTCTATCATGTATTATGTATAAATAATAAATACTATTCGAAATATATCGTATTTGATTTCATTATAATGAGAAGAATCTGAGATATACGTTAAAGAATATTGCATATGGACATAAGCAAATATAAAAAAATGTTGTTGATGAATTAGTATTAACTCACATGAACATTCTCTGTGAATCAAATAATATTAAGCTCGATCTTGACGATTCGTAATGGGGATGAGAATAGGAATAAAAATGTCACATTTAATGTAGAGCTATTTTTCATATTTAATGTGATTTTACTGATCATTCAATTTTTCATTAAGTGTCATTAGTGTTGTTATATGTATAATTGTTCTTTTAGATTTTAGGATATATGTATACATTATTATTAATGTTATCAGTCAGGAAACATATTTATAGCTGATTTCATATTAACCCTTTAACGCCTAAACTCTTAAGTCGTTATTTGAAAAATGGCAGACTGATATAATGTAAGAGTTGTGCAAATAATTAATAATATCAATTAACAATTACTGTTTAATTTTTGTATTATAATTTTGCTAATTGTTAATCCGAATTTCTTTTAATTAGGAATCAAAATTTAATCGTTAATTCGATTTTTTT